TTTTAGACTAATTTTAGAATTTAATGTGACAATCCGTATGAAAGACGAATATTTTTTTCACAGGACTTTTGAATTCTAAAATATCTACAAAAATTCTGTATACTCTTTCAACATTTAGGAGTATAATTGAATAATTATATGATTCAAAATCCACGTATTTTTTTTTATATATCTGGATTTGAAACAGAATCAATAAAATGTATTGTTTGCTATGAAAAAATTATAACTTTTTTACACATGCATATGAAAAAGAGTCTTGTAAATAGTTCAACGTAAGTATTGAGAGAAAAAATAGTAATGATTTTTGCTTTAAATAAGTATAATTATTTAATAATTTAAATATCAATTATTTATAAAAAATGAAAAGAAAGATAAAGAAAAAGAAAAAACTATTTTTAAAAAAGAAAATCAATATTTTATTTTAGGAATGATTGCTTAAGCGTAAGTAATAATAAATAGTTTTCCGTTTTGCATAATTTTCTCAGCAGAGAGCTCTCATTATAAATCTATTCTAAATTTTCGTTTACTATAATAAAAATAACTTTTTATTCATATTATAAATAAAGGCTAAAAATAGCAAAATAACATGATCCAGTTTATCGAAAAATAACTTTGTTAGATCTGCGTTAATAACGATACAATTCTGTCGTTACATGTAATACGATTAACGAAACACGGCGTTCCTTGATAAATTTCTCTTATCAATATCTTTTTTCAGATAGAGGAGCCAACCCCTTTTGTTTCATTTATTGTTTACTGAATAATTCAAAAGTAAAGAATTGGCTGAGTCTTTAAATCTCCAAGTGAACTGCGGAGGGTTGCTACTAACATCTAATATTAATAAATTCTTTAAACTGTCTTTAAAATTGTTCAATTAATTATATTAATTAACTTCAAAGAAACGTCAAAAAAATTCAAAATATGTATGTATAAAATAAAGAAAAAAATTAAAAATAAATTGACAGGCTTAACAGATCAAAAGTCAATACAATAAATAAAAAGATTTATAAATTTTTTAATAAGTTTGATATTAATAACTAAGTTATATATTGTCCAATGAAATAAAAAATACATGAAACAAATGTTTCGGCCAGATTATCTTCAATGGAGACAAAATTATCTTAGAATCTTGCATGATTTTTTTTAAGTTCTCTAATAAAATTGTCATGATCAAAAAAGATTAAAGAATTTTCTACTTACATTTTGAGAACTTCTTGAAACACTTAGAACTTCTTGAAACATGCACGTTGACTTAAAAGTTTAACACTGTTTAATACTTTTTATTCACTTAAAGGCTGTAATAAAACGTGTATGCACTCAATGCACACTCTCTGTAAATTGATTGTCATGCTGTAATGTGCAACCTATTTATAATCCATTGCCCCTTCTTTTGAGGAAATTTTGCAGAGCCAATTAAGATACAAGAAGGGGAAATTTAATATGACCACCAGCAACGCTATCATTTATTCAAACGTAATTGATTTCCGTTACTCTTCCCGACGCGTAATTAATCAGTTTGCACAATGTAAACATGTTTCTTTGCAGATTCTTGAAATGCTTCGATGATTGAAGTAAAACAAGATTATCTATTCTTAAAAATGCAGTATGAGTGTTCCTCGGTTTATTTCGCAAATCTTTTTCAATAACTAACGGAACTTTCCTGAATTCCTTCTTTACGAGTATCATAAAATTTTATACTACATCAATTATATGTATTTTGTTTACCATAAAAAGTAACTTTGAATAAGATTATCACAAAAAATGCATACGTTAATCTTATTGTTATATGATTCAATCTGCATTAAATTTTTCTGATAATTAAAAAATGTCTTTTTATTAATATAAAAATATCTTTCTAATGTCTTCTTTTAAATCTGTCTTTGTAATATCCATGCAAATATATTTAAAAGTGCATGTACTTTTAAAAAATAAATATTCTGCGTAATACTTTTAAACAATTATTTTCGCTAATTTGGCTAAATCTATTTAAGAATTTATATTTTTTATGTCTTTAATGCGTATTTTCCTTGCGTCACACAAGTCTAGACTAATAATAAGACTTCTTTCATCGAAAAAAATCATATCTTACAAACATTATCATCTCTTTGATATCTTCTTCTTCCTTCTCTTGGAAAATCTTTGGAACTGAGTCTTCGATGTAAATATTATCTTTTTGACGTGATTATAACGCCAATCATTGCGTCAATGCTTTCCCAAATTCAAGATACAGCTATTATTATAAAAATTATAATTGTAATTATATATAATTATAATTGTATTAATTATTTGTAATTTGATGCAGTAGGATGATTTTATACAAGACATATTTCTAATAGTTTCTAATATTTCTAAGAAGTTTAAAATTGGAAGAAACAAAAAAGTAAGAAAGTAAAAAAGATTTCATCTTATTACGAAATTATTAATATTTGATATTAAGATTCGATTCTGTGTATACTTCGATTCTTGATAAGATTAATTCAAACTCAATTATTAATCAAAATCTCTTCAAATTCTTAACTTAGATTCTTAATAAATTATTAAAAACTATTTGAAAATGTTAAAAATGTTAAAATAATAATTAAAATCTATGGGTACAAAATCTATAAATACAAATAATAATTGTAAATTTTATTTTATTTATGATAATTATAATTATAGTTTTTAATTGATTATTTTATTAGAAATACATGATGTATTATAATTTTTTAATATTGGCAAAATCTATTATAAACCAGAAATAAGCAGCGTGTGTCTAGCTCTATTTTAATAAACATTATCACATTTGTAAATATAATATATTATTTATAATAATTGTAAGTGCTGGATAAAAAGCAAATATACTAGTAGATTTCAGTCTTTTTTGACGATTCTAAGAAAAAAGCTTTAAAATTTATTATAATATATTGATGACATTTTAAGGAAATTAAAATAAATCTATGATGATTTTAATGTATCTCACAGATTGCTGTGTGAATAATATTCCAGATAGAAAATTTCCATGTAGAAAATATATAAAAACTTATAAATAAATTATTTTTAAAACAGAGAAAACAAAAGAAGATCATATATGTGAAGAATGTCATTGCTATTTGTGTTATGAGAGATAATAATAAAGTACAGAATACGAATCACAGTAAAATCAATTTTTTCCTGCAATTGCGCATAATAATGAAAACTTTTAATTCAGATTTTTTTCTAAATTACGGATTAAATAGGCCTTTCTTGCATGAATATTTTATTTCTGAATTTTTTCTGTAAATTGTAAATATGTATTGATAATAAAATATTGTAAAGTAAAAACAAATTATATTGCGAATTTAAAAAAATTAAAAAATTAAATTAATGAAAGTATTGACTTAAAAGCATACCAATTTTATAAACTTTGAGGGCTTATAACCATGTTAAAAATAATAAAATAAGGGAAATTAGGAGAAAGACAGAATTAGAAGATAACATAGAAAAACTATATGTAAGATAAAAATTATTTAAATTATATATCTATCAAATTTATAATAAATATAGATCTAGTTTGTGTTAAAGATTTGATAGATATATAACTTAAATAATTTTTATTTTACATATAGTTTATATTTGTTATAACAACGTATATATATTTTTGTAAAGCATTAACGTATATTATTGTAAAAAAGACACTATTAAAATTATTATTAAGTGTCTTTATTATATTGAAATACATCACGTAAAAACGCATTATGTAAAATGTGTTATTGCAATCATAACAATATGCTATGTTACTGACCTTTTCTATCTTTTTTATGTGTGCATCAAAAATGATAAAATATGCATGAATAGTGATAAAAAAATCATTTCGCAATTTGAGTAAGAGTTGTGATAACACATTACGATTGTTTACATTCATACTTATTTTTTTGCAGTAAAACTAGGTCATTTGATATTAAAAATATTTTCAGAAAATAAAAATTTAATTATATCTGAAAATTGAATTAATATTATTTATTAAATTAATATTATTCATATTAAATTAATTACTAGTTATCAATGATATTTAGTTAACAATTGTAACATTAAATACAATAATAAATTCAAATAAGTTAATAATTCAAATAAATTTTTATATCATGTAATATATAATAAATTTAAATTAATTAATTAATTACTGTTATTATTGTAGATAAATAATAATGATGCTTCTAATTATTAATTTCTAATTATTAATTTCTTCATATATTAAATTTTTTATATTCCACTTTATTATTATGGTTATTTAATTGATATTAAAATGTAAATTGAAGTATATTCACGTTTTTTTTTATTCATACAATGTTCGCGTATTTCGTAATTCCTTGCAACATCGTATCACGTACTCGCTTTCAGTTTTATCATATTTACATGTCATGTATCATATTTATTGTCTTCTTTCTCTGTTCAATCTTTTGATGTTTAATTTAATTACTTTTGGAAGGACACATACTGCAACAAAATATTAATGATATTTAATGTGATTAATGTGATTAATGTGATTAATGTGATTAATGTGAAATATTAATGTGATTTATATTATCATAAATCAGTAATCAGATGTTTTTTTATACGTATAAAAAATTATAATTGAATTATTATAATTAACATAGATTTTAAAGAGTGTTTTATATATTTGT